CCTCCCTTCCCTGAACCACGTGTTTCACCCAACAGGTGCTGGGTAGTGCTATCCAGTGCTCCTGGCAAAATGCTAAGCGGCGTCAGCGAGCGATCCCGTGAAGCAGGGAAGCTAGAGTAACGGCCGAGCTAAGCCAAATTTATAGTTGCCAAGTTTTTGACTGCTTTACCTCGATTGCAAGGGCGACTACCGTCCATGAATAATTTTTGATTGTTGTCTAGGAGCGAGTTGTTTTGGGTTTTTCTGTTTTTTGCTTTTCAGGCAACATGTGATTGTTTCGAGAAATCGGTTTGTGAATGGCTTGAAATGCCATTACTGGAGTACAACACTGTGCATTTCAGAATACCCACAGGAGACATCTCGTTACTCGGATTCGTTTTGTATTTAACTGTTTTTGTTGTTTTTGGCTGCCTTGTTTTCATCATTGTTGCAGTGTTGAAAAACAGGAGGAAGGAAAAAACGCAGTAGTTTACTTCTACCCTTAATTTTTCGTTTTTTTTTTTTTTGGAGAGGCACGCAGTAGCCCAGTCCGAGCGATTGCACATTGCCAATTACTGCCAACAATCAGTGTTATCAGTGGCTTACTCTGTTGAAGATTGCTTATATGCAAGCTTGTAAAGCAGATTAGATGCCAAAACAATTATTAAGCTTAAAAAAAATTATAAGCACTGTGAAATTTTTGACATGCAACAGATTATTGTCAAAACGGATGGGAAGGGGAGGAGAGAAATTAAAAGGAAACAAATTTTTTGTAATCAGCGGGGTCGATCCCTCGAGCTTTAGCAAGTGTAGTGCTAATTCCCATTACATGAAGTTGACGAATATCCTCAAATGCCAGTTATAAATGGTTAGATCCTCGTTTTGACATATTTTGTATGAGCACATGTTGTTGCGCAGTTGTTTCATCGCTGCGCACTCCATCTCGCCAACCTTTTGATACTTATTTTGGATCGTTAACTTTTGTCAACGTACATGCCTAGTTATTGGGCGCAGATTTTAAAGTGAAAACAGATTTTGAAGTGAAAACGGGATCCTTTTTTGAAAACGTTTATAGGCTGGGAGAGAGTCGATTCACTTGATTTTCGCGTCCGAACATGGCGTATTAAAACATTGTGCCATCCGTCCTTGTACTCCGCGCACTTTACTAGAGCACCTGTATTCTGTACATGTGACACCCACTATATATATTCTATATCATGTGGCTGTTGTACTCTCGCACAGCACACCCTTTCAACAACCGCCGGCTTTCGGCTGGATTTTCTAGACACCATAGGTTGTATTTTCTTTGCGAGATTAATGACTTTTTATGCTTTTTTTTGCATCTATGCAGTTTTGCAAAAATGCATATTGTCGAGGGGTTGTCTGTGTGTGTGTCCCTCTCTGTCTGTATGCACGTCTGTACCGACTTTTTATCTCAAGCCTCAGAAAAAATTGCAAAGCTGAAACTTTGGCAAATTAAACTGCACGCATCTGTGGGCCCCTATCCCCAGAATGGACGCTCATGCCCACGTGATTCTCACATACGGCTCGCGAAAGTTTTTGACGGATATGTTACTAACTCGGGACCAGAAAAGCTAGAAAGCTGCAATTATAAAGGGATGTTTTCTAACAGTCGTGTTGCCAGTCTCAATTCTTTTAGCTAGAAACATCTGCCGAAAAAAACAGTGCCGCTAGCGACAAAAACCTGCCGGGAACTGTGCAAAAAATGCATCCCCACCGGCAGTCGATGCGCTGGTCAATTGTTTTAGGATGATATGGCGCAAAAATTAATTCATTATTCTAATTTAATCTTGTCTAATTAATTTGGCGCAGTTTTCAAATCCGATTGTTTGTTATGTAACTGGTTGTACTTAAACACAAAGTGAGTTAACTCTAAAACTGAACTATTGATCGTTCTTTAATCTTCACCGTTGAAGAAATAAATGTTTATGTACTAGCTGGTTTTTACACATATGCAAATGCAAAAACGCATATTGTAACGATCCATGGTGTTCGTGTGTGCGTATGTTTGTGTGCGTGCGTGTTTGTGTGCTTCCGTTTGGGTATTTCAACGCGGCAATCAAGCAACCTCCGGTGCTGAAATTTTGACAGCGAGTTTCCTGGCTAAGCATCACCCCAGCACCGCGGTATCAACCTTCGCGCACTTCTTGGTCCCGCATACAAGCGACGTGAAGGTTTTGGCGGGAACATCGCTAACTCGGGAACCAGAGAAACTATAAAGCTGAAACTTTGAGGGTATATTTCTCGTCTTCATAGAGCTTAAAGGTTTCAAATTCAACCCTCAAGTGTGCGTGGTTCTCACGTACGAGCCCATGAATTTTTTTGGCGGGAAAACTGCTAATTCGGAAAAGCTGAAAAGCTCAAATTTTAACGGAATGTGCCATGCCTAAGTAACACGTAGTTGCACCACTCACTTCTTGAACCTTGAGGACCAGCATGTCACAAAATTTACTGGAACTCCAAGTGATCTTACTACTGCACGAAATACTGCAAAAACACATAATTGAACGGCACGTCTGGCACCATCGCCAGTGATTTTTTACTTGTATTCGTCATTTTGGTAGCCACGGCAGCAAACACAGTAACAGTTTCTTGCATATTTTTCCGAATTACAAAAACAAATACATGACATGGAATGTTCACAAATTTTTCTTCTAGACGCCAGCATCAACCTAATTTAACAAACTGGGGAATTTTTTTTCTCAAAATGTATCAGAAAAAATCGATTAATTTAAACTCGTTTGAGTGAGTAGTGAAACTATGGGAACTTTAAACGAGGAACACGTAAAGCGATGTGGCAGGCTGTGTAACCTCGAAAAGTATGTCTACGTTTGACTGTGGTCAAGAAGGAGAAAACCTATTCTCAGAAGACTTAGAAACTGCCCATTTGGTATCGAGGAACTGGTACGGCTCTTGGATAGAATGACATGAAACTGATTTCGCTGAACACAAAAAGTTAGACAACGTGGATGTAAAACTGTTACGTTGGAAGAAAACTTTAGGGTCTTGCTGAAGTGCTGGATGTAGGATTCGTCAGTAAAACCAGCTTGTCTGAACCGAAAAGAAATTGTTCAAGCCGGTGTTCTTTTGAAGGAATAAGGCTAAATGAAATGGATTTTTCTGAATGCAGTAAGCGAAATGCGAGGATATGGTGCACTGCTGCAACACGAAGAAACCCATTTAGATAACCTAAACAAATTGCTGATGTGATAAGGAATACGCACAGTTGATGCTCGAGAACGGGTTTTAACTCAAATCTGCTTCTAGAAGCGCAAAGGATTCTGTATAAACAAAAGAAAGATAGAAGAAATCAAAGACACAGTTGTTCTAATTAGACCCGAAAAAAAAAACAATCATTTTCTGGTTTCTTTCTTCTCACTGGAAATTAGTGGGGAGAAAAACGGCCATAACAGTTCATTTCACCTTCTTGCAGTAACACCGGAAGATTTAGGTGGCTATGCGATAGTGTGCCCTTTTCCCGCCAGATTTGCTGCTTCTTTTATCGTGCAATAGCATCCAGCGGGCTGCTGCTAATTGTTGATTCGCGAATGCATTCGTACCACCTAAAAACTATTCATTTCACACTCTGAGAGATACAAGGCAAACACTAAATTTCGGCTTTGCTCTGCCAACATCATACACGATCTGTGGAAATTTTTTACTAGCTATGACGGTGAGGTTAGCCCACCAGGGCAATTGGCAGCAGTTCGAATGTGGCAAATGGGAGTGTGACTTCCACTCGAAACATGGGGGGAGATCTGAGACAGGTGGGCTTAATGGCTATATAGCGTAGATTCCCTGTCGACTGGCTAGGTCATGTACATTTGGGGAGTGGGAGGGGGAGGAGGTAACCGTTCGAAGTGAGAAGGAAGAGAGCTCCTGGTTTATTTGCCGGTGTTGGGAAAGGGCTGAAATACAGCTTGCTTCCAGAATGCTCTTACAACAGGGATGGAAAGGAACGCAGATGTTGCTTTGCAGGAAAAATTTGGGGACACAGTAAAAAAGATTAGGATACAAGTCAGGAGTTCGAGGCAAGAACTGGAGACGGCAGCGAAGAAAAAAGAAAATAAAGCAATTAAAAAAGTAAATCAAAGTAAACTTGGGCGCACGAATAAAAGGAAAATCAAAAAAGTGAACATATAAGTTTAAGCAAAAAAAAAAGGTAAAAGTCTGTGGAAACTGTCCTATAAAAACCCATCGTCAGTAGAGGATCTCCTCGTTTATGAAACTGACGCTTAGGTAAAGCTGAAAGCTCCCAACTTTTCCTACGCGTGGGCTTTATATATGGGAAACCCTCTGCTGCAGACGGGTTTTTGTAAGACAGTTTCCATTCGCATAAGCTCAGTATTTGCTTTCGCTTTATTTAGCTTTATTCATAGGTTCCGATTCCTTGATTTCGCTTTTTTTCCAAAAATCCAGGTTTCTTCTACTTTTCTTTGTAGTGCTGCATTGTTTCTTTCTATTTACTGCTTTCTCCAATTCTTGCCTCGATCTTCTTACTAGTACCCTTGTTCCCCTCCTCCATCCTATCCCCGTTCCGTGTCTCTGGAGGTGCGCCTGCGCGTTTTCACATTACCAGCCGAGTCGAGGTTTAATTAGTGTTGTTTTTGACGCTTTGTTCTAGAATTTAAACTGAACAGATTGTATGTGGAACGACGCTTACCTTAATAATCGTACAAATCGTTTAGGGAGGACATGCTCCGGTCACCCTGAAGTAGATATTACAAATAAATGCAAACAGCCAATAATACATGTGCTTACTTTGAGAAGGCATATAGGCTGTCGGCTCGGAAGAAGTAATAATGCGCTTTATAAGATATCTTGAAAACATTTTCAAACTCGATTCTATCACTGAGCTGCGGCAGCGATATATGGTAACTGATGATCGGTAGTACGGCGATTGGTTCTTGTTCCTGAAATTTTGCTCTAGCAGACATTTTGAGGTAATGCAAAAATCAGAGTTGCACATATTGTGTTGGTGAAATTTTCCCTTTTTTATAATACAGTTAAAAAAACAGTTAAAGAAAAATAGCGGCGTACCCCCCGATAATCGACGCATTTTGCGCATTTCTCTTCCAATGTTACAGGGGTCCAATAATTTCTAATGATGCGCTCATACGTAATACTTAACATACGTAAAAGCCGAATTGAAATTTCTGCAGTCGCACGTGCACAAAAAACACCACTTAGATTATCAGACACTTGCTTGTTTGGTTTCTAAGCTAAAAAATTTTTCATCAGAAATCAAGGGCATTTGTATGTGAAGCGGAGGTGTACGTATAAGCTGATTTCAAGCTAGCTTAGCAGGATACGAACAAAAAATATGTTCCTAGAACTTCAGATTCCAAACTTCTCCGGTGCTGAGTTGAAAAAACTGAGATATTTGTAAACACACGCAACTAAGTTCTAGACAATGTGCACTTTTTCACTGTTGTTGCAGTACAAGCGTTAAATCCATCGGTTAATTACAGAATACCTGATGTGATCGGAAGAAAAACAGTGTGAAATTTGCATGCACAACCCACAGTTTTTGCCAACCCGTAGAACTACGGAGTTTACGCAGCAAATATCCAGACATTTGATTCGCCGGTGCCTGAAAAACAAAATTTATGAATAAATTACGAGTTAATTTGTGAATAAATCCATGAATAATTTACGAATAAATGGAACAAGACAGAATATAGCTACTGTTATCTCGCCGCAATGAAATTTTTCTTGAAGATGCGATGTTAGCAGATGCTGCCACATCTCGGACAGAGTTATACCAGACCGTTTGAAAACTAAGCTGTATTTCTACTTACTACTCATTACTGAATGTGCATTCTACTTTTAAGAGAAGCTCCAGTGAAGTCAGCCTTTACTCACTGTATCGTGTAAGGAAGCGACTAGCAGCTTAGCAAAGTAATAATGCACAATCCAGACGCACTTTTATGCGTTTTGTGTTGAGCAACAGATGCATAAAACACATACTGTAGCGCTCTGTCTGTTTTTTGCGTGTTTGTTTGTTTGTGTGTGTGTGCGTGTGTGTGTGTGAGTGTGTGTGTGTGCGTATGTGTGTACGTGCCCAAGATCATTTTGCCAGCAACTTTCAACTTGCGAACCACAAAAGCTTGGAAGCTGAAATTTTAGGAGAATGTTCCTAGCCCACACGTGACCCTGCAAATCTAATTTTAGCCTTCCCTCACTCCTGGCTATCCTGTGAAAATTTGACGGGAAAATTATTATCTCAGGAATCACAAGAGGTAAGAAGCCGAAATTTTAGGGTAATGCCCCTACTCACATGCGATTCCCATAGACTTAAATTTCAGCCTACGTCTAGTTAACATGTACGACCCCGTGAAGGTTTTGGCAGAAATAGGAGCTAGAAGAACTAGAAAACTGAAAATTTCAGAATGATGTTTTCTGTCGATGCGAGAACTTCACCATCTCAAAATTAACTCCCAATTATTCCGAGGTCTCCCGTGCGACTACTTGAAAGTTTTGGCACAAAAGTCATGCGGACGCCAGAAAATTAGAAATAGAAGTAGAAGTAGAGATAGAAATAGAAGAAAGTTGAAACTTTAGAAGGATACACGTTTTCCAAGATTTCAAATTCAGTTTTCACGCATACTTAATTTTTATGTGATGGTATGTGAAATTCCGCAGCTCAGAAACTAGACAATAAATCAGCTAACTTTGTATAGACCAGGATGTAAAACAGTGAAAATCCTTAATACTAAGTGTCCGCTGGACGGAACTGCGTAAAACGTATGATCGTACCGGTTTCCCTGGTGTGTGCCGCTATTTACAGGTAGTTGCTCCTGGTGCTGAAATCGCTCGATGATCAACTGATTTTTTGTATCCAGTGCTCTCACTGCTAAGATAATTTCAAATTTATGGTGTAAAAACACTCAGTTTCATTTTTCAGTTTTAGCTTCCTGCTGACCTTTATCACTACTGCTTCATTTTTATGCGTTTTTTGCAGCAATGCAATGCGAAAAACGCATATTGACGAGAGGTTGTCTG